ATTTCAAAAAAATTCAACTTCTTATTGCATGTAGAAGGATGTGAGAGAAAAGCATGTTGAGGATAGTGTATGATATGAATCAAGTGAAAAGGTGTGCAGTGGTGCTCCTTGCAGACCCACGGCCTTTGTACCCTCACAGTAATAATCAAATATTTGGCAATGTATGGTAATGTCCTAATTTACAATGTTTCACACTTATAGCACTGGCACTTTAGAATCAATTACTTATGAGCACTGATCTGCAGTTACAATCATTGAAAATACAGCTTCTCCTCATTTAGCGACATACTCATTTACCAATGCCTTGGATTTACAACGGGCTCTCTGACCAGTATGCATACCTAAATAATGTATATTAGAGCTGATATTAAGTTCACAGCTGTATAAACATTTAAAAATATACCAGAAATGTTTTAAATGGTGAAAAGGCAACATTAAAACAACATCTAAGATGATTGACACAAACCCACTACCACTATAGTATGCTCCTCACTTAGTGATGAATTCATTTACTGATGTGGTCTTAGGAACGGAACCCTGCTGTTAAGTGAGGAGAGGACGTATATAACCCTTTCAGGGTCGGCAGGCCTTCTCCTAAACTTGTTTTCAGGGTTGGAAATTTTTCGAAAAAAAAAAAAAATTATTTTTCTTATGAAATGATAGAGAAACTTTTCCAGATCATAATGACACCAAAAGTATGAAATTTGATGGAAAACTTAGGAAATTATACTCTCACGAAGTTAGCGGTCTTGACGATGTTTACGCATCAGCGATTTCGCCCACTTTGAGCCCTATTTTCGGCCAATTCCAATGTACCAGTCGACAAAAATCATAACTATTTGGCTAGAACTCCACCTTTTCTAAAGAATGAGTACAAGAAACCACCCATTTACCGATTTCAACTATCCAATAAAGTGTTCAGAAATTGGCAATTTTGCCAATTTCACACAAATTTCAAAAGATGCCAATTTCCAAATAGGGTCCAGAATAAACAAGACAGACATTCCTGGCACTAAAATAACATTTCCACTGTTCATTAGTCACGTCCCCAGGCCTCTGTTACATTTCTTTTGCTTTCCACTTTGAATTTTTATTCTCACACAAAATAGAAGATTTACTGTTATGCAGACTACTGCATTAGTGTAGAAATGGTGTAGAAATGGTATAAATAATATCAGCATACTTGTGAAAGAATATTAGACTCACCAGTTGACGTGTATTGGACGCATGGCATGATCTGTTTACTTTTGAACTTTGGCAAAAATCGAACATTTCTGCTACTTTGAGCTCAATTTCAAGGTACTTTTCATTGTGAAACCAATCAAAATCATCTCAATTTCTGTAATAGTTTTCCCTTTCAATAAAATAGCCCGGGGAAACAAAATACAACCATAATATCATATAAAAAATACACTGCAAAGTCGCTGTTTTAAACAAAAAACACGATCGGATTTTTTTTTTCTCATTTGCCCTGGTGCTGCAGGTTTTTTTTTATACTGAACACTGACCACATGACCTATTTTTTCATTGTGGGCCCTCCAGCTTTCTCTCACTAGATTTGAAGCATTAGAATTTATGGTAATACTAGATGGCCCCAAACCCTGGCGTGCAAGCCTACTGTAGGGCCAAAAAACCGGGGTTTAAGCAAAAAATTATTGAAACTAATTTTCTTTTCTTATTTACAAATGCTTTAATACTTCATCTATTTTCCTTTTCATGCAATATAGAGCACTCAAACAGTAGGGCAGTTTGGTAAAGAACCCTAGTTTTTAAAATTGAAGGTATGTTGCTTGGATTAGTTTGGGGTAGCTCCCTTGGTACCCCCATATAGACATGTTAGTGGGTGAAGTGTGGTATCTCAGCCACCCCTCTCCCCTTTTTAAAACAACTTACCTTTCCCCCACACTACCTATCAAACCTTCCCTCTCCCTCCCCCTTCCCTCTCTGAGACAGACAGTTGTGCTAACCCCTACACACTTACTGACAAAACAACAGCTGTTCTGTTTAACCTTTGACATTGTGACCCCCCCCATCCTCAAGTCTCTCTTGTATCACAAAATATTAAGAAAAAAAAAAAAAAAAATTATTTTTTTTTTATGAAATATAGAGAATCTTTTTTTAATGGTAATGACACCAAAAGTACAAATTTGATGGAAAACTTTTGGAATTAAGCTCTCGTGAAGTTTGGTGTCAGCAATATATACGCCCCTCCATTTTCCCCCTTTGACCCAAAATTTTTTGGGAAATTTATTGTTCCAGTCAACCAAACTCATAGCTATTTCTTTAACTCCATTTGATTATCGAGAGATGGAAAACTGCCCCTTTCTGATTTAACTACCCTAAATGGTCAGAAATTTACAATTTGGCCAATTTACGCAAAATTAAAAAAGATGCCAAATTCAAAAAAAGGGTAGAAACAAGCAGAAATCCTGGGAATAAAATAACATTTTCTCTGTTCATTGGTCACATCTCCAGGCCCCTCTTATATTATTCTTGCTTTCTATTTGGAATTTTTATTCACACAAAAAAATAGAAGATTTACTGTTATGCAAACTACTGCATTATTGTAATAATTGTATAAATAATATCAACCCATTCGTGACTGCATATCAGAAAGGCTAGTCAGACACGTATTGCACAGTGACGTCATTTGTTGACTCTTGAACATCGGCAAAAATCAAACATTTCCGCTACTTTGAGCTCAATTTCAAGGTCCTTTTCATCATGAAACCAATCAAAATCACCTCTATTTCTGTAAAATGTCTTCCATTCTATCATATGAAACCAAGAAAGCAAGAATACAATCATAAATACTATATGAATTACACCTCAAAGTTGGCATTTTAATCCAAAAACACAATCAGAGTTTTTTTTCTCATTATGCACTGCATTCTGCAGGATTTTTTTTTTTACTGTGCACACTGACCACACAGACCCATTCTTTCACATATGGGCCTACCAGCTTCCTCCCACTTGATTTGAAACCGCTAGAATTTTGGCGTATTAATACGTCAAAAATACTGGTTCGTAAGACATATATATATGATCAATACAGTCAAAGGATTAAATTACCATACATAATTTTTTAAACAATGTTTAATACTACTACAATATTTGTGAGTGAAAAGGAACAGTACCAAATGTAAAATATAGCATAGATCTCAGTTAAAAAGAGATTAGATATAGAATATTATGGTTCGGGACTGCATCTCTGTTTATAACATGAGTGTCTAAGGTAAAATAGGTTCTCAATTCCAAACACTCAACTTGTGTACAATTTTTGGGAACAAATTAACATAAATTGGGACCCTACTTTAGCCTCTAAATTTAGTAGTAGAATACACAAATAACCCGCACATAGAAGGGAGAAGCTTATGACAACATTTCAGCTCCCTCACTTTCGAGTGTCAGTATGACTTGTAAATGGTCAAAGTCAGACCAAGACATTATCATAACCTTCTCTCTCCTATGTGCAGGTTATGTGTGAATTGTTCCAGTGATAGTATTATGCTTTTTTGTTCCTTTTGGTAGTAAAACATGCCACAATGTACTGAATGTACAGCATTCAAGTTGTGGTTCTGGGAGCCAAATTCAGGAATACTACTGTTATGCCATAATACTTCACCCAACTCTCATATTCAGATTATGTACAACAGTGCTCGTGGATCACCAAAGGCATGAACAAGGAAAGTGAGAATGGCAAAGGGAATACAATATTTCTCTACTTTTATCAATAAAAGATAAGGTTGTTTTACATGTTATTTAGGATACAACTGCTTACAGTGACGAGTTTTAACCCCTTGACTGTCAACCCCAATCCTGAGGTGTCTCCTGGTGTCGCAAATTTTCAAAAAAAAAAAAAATTATTTTTTTCTTATGAAATGATAGAGAATCTTTTCCCGATTGTAATGACACCAAAAAAAACTAAATTTGATGGAAAACTGACGGAATTATGCTCTTGCAAAGTTAGCGACCTCGGCGATATTTACGAATTGGCGATTTCGCCCACTTTGAGCCCTACTTTTGGCTAATTTTGTTGTTCCTGTCAACCAAACTCATAGCTATTTCTTTAACACTCCATTTTTTCTATCGATTGAGTACAAGAAACAGCCCATTTACAGATTTCAACTACCCAATAATGTGGTCAGAAATTTGCAATTTGGCCAATTTCACGAAAATTAAAAAATATGACAATTTCAAAATAAGGTCCAGAATGAACAATGCAGACATTCCTGGCTCTAAATTAACATTTTCTTTGTTCATCAGTCATGTCTCCAAGCCCCTCTGATATTACTCTTGCTTTCTATTTTGAATTTTTATTCAAACAAAAAATAGAAGACTTACTATTATGCAGACTACTGCAATACTGTAATAATTGTATAAAAAAACATTCAACCCATTCATGACTACATATTAGAATGGCTAGTTGGACATTTATTGGACAATGACATCATTTGTTTACTTTTGAACATTGGCAAAAATCAAACATTTCCCCTACTTTGAGCTCCATTTCCAGGTTCTTTTTATAGTAAAATCAATCAAAATCACCTCTATTTCTATAATATGTTTTCCATTCTATCAAATGAGACCAAAAAAATGAGAATACAACCATAAATACTATACAAAAATAGACCACAAAGTCGGCATTTTAATTAAAAAAACGGTAGGAGTTTTTTTTTCTCATTATGCACTGCGTGCTCCAGGATTTTTTTTTATATGGTGCACACTGACCACACAGACCCATTCTCTCACATGTGGGCCTACCAGCTTTCTCCTGCTTGATTTGAAGCCACTAGAATTTATGAGTATATATACGTCAAACACGGTACCTCGTAAGACGTATATATACAGCCGCGACAGTCAAAGGGTTAAGCACACATACAATAAGAATATTTATCACGGATGTAAATACGACTGCATTACAAAATGGACTGGAAAATTAAAATGAAAGTCCTAACCACACTCAAATTGAGATACTGCACTATTGTATAGATGCTGACCTTCCTCTTCAGGTGGTTATTAATTAGGATCGCAGCTAGAGCGACCACTAGTGCAATGATGAATATCTTGTTACCCATTGTTGTAGTAACTGAAAGTGCACAGAAACTATTAAGTACTCAAGGTTTGGACTCCACTAGACATAACAGCACAGACAGTAGCAGCAAAATATACACATACATATCTCATCTTTTAAGTACAGTACTGTAATTATTTTTTTAGTCATATGAAAAATGCTATAAATTTAAAATTATACTGTAAAAACAAAATTTTCCAGTAACAATAGAACCTCAAATATCGAACTTAATCCATTCCAGGAGCTAGTTCTAAATTCAAAAAGTCTGAAAAGCAAAGCAATATTTCCCATAAGAAATGATGGAAATACAATTAATCTGTTCTAGAAACCCAAAAATATTCACAAAAAATTACATTTTATAGAGATTAATTATAGTTTTACATACACACAACGAATATAGTGTTCAATTATGTATGAATAAATTTAAATAAGCATATAAAATAACATTTTTATTTACCTTTATTGAAGATTGGTGATGGCATCTGGAAGATAGGGGAGGAGGAGAGAGGGAGTTGGGGTTAGTTTTTGGAAGGAGAATCCCCCTCCTGTCTACAGTCCTCTGTTTCTGTCTCAGAAAATAACTGTCCACAGTCCTCTGTTTCTGTCTCACAAAATAACTGTCCACAGTCCTCTGTTTCTGTCTCACAAAATAACTGTCCACAGTCCTCTGTTTCTGTCTCACAAAATAACTGTCCACAGTCCTCTGTTTCTGTCTCACAAAATAACTGTCCACAGTCCTCTGTTTCTGTCTCACAAAATAACTGTCCACAGCTGTCTGTTTCTGTCTCACAAAATAACTGTCCACAGTCCTCTGTACATCCTGGCAAGCTCAAAATAATCCTAACATTTGGTAAGAAAAAAATCCTTTTTTTATTTTTCAAATATTTTTCAACATAGAATGACAGTTTCAGAACTGGGTTTGCGACAGTCAAAGGGTTAATTTAAATGAGGAAAACTGACTCTGCAAAAGAGCAAATCCAGATGCGAGCAAGGGCATAGAATGGATTAAACTCGTAAGTAGAGATTCCACTGTATTCCTTTAACCCTTTCAGGGTTGATAGGCCCACCCCCAATCTCATTCTCAGAGTCGAAAAATATTAAAAAAAAAAAAAAAAAAATTTCTTATGAAATGATAATTTTTTTTTTTGTGAATATTATCGGCCAAAATATGGAGGCATGAAGTTGACAGAAATTTAACCACTTATGGCAACATCGCCGACTGCCGGTCACCTGGTAATAGTTTATTTTGTTTTTTTTCTACTTTTTTCTTTTATTTTTTAATATTTTATTTTTTCAAGTAACTTTTATGGCCTCTGAGACCAATATAAAGACTAACTGGTATATATTCACTCATTGTATACTACACAATAACAGCACAAACTTTGCTGTCATTATATTTACTCTCTCCAGGTAAACTCCAGGTAAACACATACCAACAATAAAAAAATGTCGTTTATTACTATTTTTCTATCATATATATACACATATAGAGTCACTGGACAGGTTCCTGTAGCTGCAAGAGGTTCTGACAGCTTGTAGTGGGGTGTGGGTGGACTTGTAAATATGCTGAGTCACCGGCATGTCTTGTATCACAAAGATGCATTATACCACCACTCCCTAACCCTCGCTGCCTTCCACAACACATCCCTTCCTCCTCACAAACCTATCTTCCTTCTTTCCTTCCTTCCTTCTTACCTTCCCTCCTTCCATTCTTCCTTCCTCCCTGCCTACATTCCATTCTTCCTTCCTTCCTCTAATCTCTTCCTTCCTACCTACCTTCCCTCCTTCCTTCTTCCTTCCTCTCATTTCTTCCTACCTACCTTCCCTCCTTTCTTCCTTCCTTTCTTCCTTCTTCTCATCTCTTCCTACCTACCTTTCCTTCTTCCTACCTACCTTCCCTCCTTCCTTTCTTTCTTCCTTCAAGTACTTTTATGGCCTGTGAGGCCAATATAAGGTATTTTGAATGTATATTCACTTGTTGTATGTACACAAAAACTGCACAGTCATTATATTGTTTACAAAACATGTTTACACAAACCAACAATAAAAAATGTTGTTTATTGCTATTTTTCTATCACATATATGCACATATAAAGTCACTGGACACTTCCCAGAACTCCTACAGCTTCTGTAAAGCTCATAGTTGTTGTGTGGGGGTGGACTCGTAAATATGCTGAGTCACTGGAGTAATTAGTGTCACAATGACAAATCACACCATCACTCACCACCCTCACTGCCTGTCAACACCCATCCCTTCCTAGGTTATCCTAGGTTAATGGTCTCCCTCCTTCCTTACTTCCTCCCTTCCTTCCTTCCTCTCATCTCTTCCTTTCTTCCTTCCTTCCTTCCTCTCATCTCTTCCTTCCTCCTTTTCTTCCTACCTTCCTTCCTTCTTCCTTCCCTCCTTCTGGTTTCTTGGGCATTGCTTTCAGTCACAAACTCCTCAAAACCATGAAATTCATCTTCACTGACACTTCCATCTGTGTTTGAACTATCACTTGGGAACAAAAGAGCCCAATTAGCTGAGGGGTGAGGAGTTTCTTAGCGCTAGACATGGTGAACAAGGTGTAATAAAATGGCTTTCCCACAATGCACCACCGGGTCCCCAATTTTTTTTTTTTGTACCGCGCACACTGACTATGAAGACCCATTCTCTCACATCTAGGCCTACCAGCCTTTTCCTGCTTGATTTGAGGACGCTAGAATTTATGCGTACTAGTACATCAATAACCCTGGCGTATAAGACGCACTAGTACGTCAAAAACCCTGAAAGGGTTAAAATACATTTTAAGAAATAAAGAAACTGCAATCATCAAATACACTAAGACTATAAAAGCTCTTTTATAGCTTTCCTCACAGCAAAATCACCCAAAAGTTCATCAAAATTTGTCTAAGTTTGTCACTTTCAATGCATAGAATGCTCAGTGTGGACAACCTCTCTTGAGACATTGTAGCCCTTAATTTATTTCTAATTTTTTTGAAGCTCAAAAAAGACCTCTCTCCCAAGCAGTTAGTGACCATTAAGCTAACAAATACGTAGCCACAAGATTGCTTCCACATTAGGGAAGGCCATCTGAATTGTTTCCTTGTACGTATATATAATTTGATAAAGATCTGTATAAAACAGTAACTGCTCTTCTGTAGGACTACAGCTTTGTCTTGCATACAAATGAAAGTGCAAACATTTATCAGTAAGTTTCGGGTCAACATCATCTGGGTATGAGGTATCTTTATTTGTAGACTCTTTGCCAACTGGTGGCTTTATCAATGCAATACAAAGATATAATGTGGCCTGGTGGTTAAAGCTCTTGCTTCACAAGGCAAGGGCCTGGGTTCAATTCCCAGCCAGAGTAGAAACATTGGGCATGTTTCTTTCCATCTGTTGTCTATGTTCCTCATCAGTAAAATGGGTACCTGGGTGTTAGTCGACTGGTGTGGGTCGCATCCTGGGACATTGACCTAATTTGCCAGAAATGTTCAGCATAATAAGGGGCTTTCTATATAGTAATGTCACTGATGTCAGCAAGGCCTGTATACCATGTACATGTACTTGTAGTAAATAAAGATATTATTATTATTATACAAAAGATGAGGTAATCAGTCCCTCAGCCTTGGAGTTGGTGAGGAGCGCTGGAGATGTTGCACATGTGTCTAATTCCTTATCCTGTTGGTACTGTATATCATTTATGCACATCTTCTGGGTATGCTTCCATCAAGAACAAAAGGAATAACACCATGACTGGAACAATGCACAAGGAAAGTTGTGTACAAGGGATGATTCAACAAGACAGCAACTGTGAAAGCTTGAAGTAAGGTAGACAGTTTTAACAAAGGACCAGTCAACAGGATGACTGCGATCTCTAACATGAAAAAATGGCATTTTTGGGTTTTGGTAGCCTCATTTCTTTTGTGTCCTTGAGCTTCAGACGGGAGGGGCTGAAATAGAGTAGGCACCAGGGACTTCAATAGTGGGGGGGAGGTATAAAAATGCTGAATCATCCTTTATCCCAAAAATTTTCCCTTGTAGAAATTTGCCCGGCTTTGGTTATGTAGATCCTTTTTTCTCTTTTAATTACCAAATACCCCAAAAATTCAGAAACTCAGGATCTATCTTCCTCCTCCTCCCCCTCCTCCTCCTTCTCTATCTTTCCCCCTTTCCTATTTTCCCTTTTTTTTCTTTTTTTTCCCTTTCTTCTCCCTGTTCATTTCTTTCCCCCCTTTTTTTGGCCCCTCCCCTTTTGGGGACCTTAGCCCCCTGCAGAGCTCCTTTTTTGCTTGTTCTTTGCAAACCCCCACTTCTCACCCTATTCTGTATCTTTACCATTCCTATACTTAGCCACTACATTACTTTTGCTCCTTTCACCCCCCCCCCTTTCTATTCTTGCCCCACAAACTTACTCCCCCTCTTTTCTTTGCCATATCATTTACTATGTCCCCCCTTAGTCCCATCTTTTAAAGCTTGCCTATTTATGGCTCCCTCTCTTCTTTCGTAGCGTGACTTTGAAAATGGCCCAAAGTTGGACCGAAAACCCATGTAAGCTTCTCTCTATGTGCAGGTTATTTGTGAAAAAAATCTATACAAATAGGATTACACATAAAATAAAAAACAAAACTTTTTTGGGGAACAGTACACCAAAAATGAGTGTGATTTTAGGGAGATGTTAATAATAGTGTTACACAAAATTTTCATTGTCATCTTGCAGTTTAAAGGGGACAGTACATCTTACAATACAATTTTTATTTTTTTGAAAGTTTCATTGGATTCTGTAGTTACAAAAATGAGTTGCAGTGCAAAGAGAGCCATTCATCCCATTGCTTTTGGAGAAAACTAAATTAAGGGGTTTAAGACTACTTAATACTGAGAAATCGATATAGTTTTTTAAAATTTAAACATATGTTTTTTTTTAAACCCCTTTTCGGGTCGAAGGGCCCCTCTCAGAGACTTGTTTCAGGGTCCCCCAAAATTTCAAAAAAAAAAATATATATTTTTTCTTTGAAAAGACAGAAAATTTTTC